CTTTTGTATTTTCTTAATTAAGCAAGATTAGAGTCAATCTAAAATAAGTAAATGAATTTGACATATCAGGTTCTGGAGTAGATTTAACAAAACAAAATGTTTTATCTTAAACTTGTAATTCTATGATAACTTGATTGTTAATTTAGAACGTTAGATCGCACTGCTGTCGTGACACATAACATTTATGTCATAATATTCAAGGTTTCTTGACAAACAAGTTTGTAACACGATAATTATTTACTTAGTTGTTTTATATAAAATATTATATTCTACGTTTTTTCGTCTACATATTAAATATAATCGAGATTATATAAACTGTCCACGGAGTACTTGATTCTTAAATACATATTTAATCGGATGTACGAAAATGAATGACATTTTTTCGTGTGATTTTTATCAATCGTGATTTTTTTATAGAACAAGGTGAAACGCGCAGGAGGCTCACCTGATGTTAAGTGATACCTCTGCTCAAAAACACTCAATGCCGGAGACAGACATTCATTTTAGACATTCCAATTAACTGACCATTATTATTAATAAGTTTTTTTTAGATTGAGTTTAAATAAAAGTATGAGATTATAATGTTAAACCTTAGTTATGTCTAACACTATCAAATATAGTTTAAAATTATAATGACATGTGAAACTTCATTGCGAACAGAAAGATGAAGAAAAATAGTTTTTTTATATAATAAAGGGGCAAAATAAAGGCCGCCCATTAAGGGGCAGACTTTGCAGCCCATGGACATTCATTTTAGTGGGGAGTGTGTGAGGAGGAGTGAATTGTGTAGTGTGCAAAGGTTAAGGGTTATTGTACTTTTTAATTCCAAGTAATTAAATAAATAAAAAATATTGATAGATAAAAATTGGTACAATCGGGGTATTAGAAAATACAAAATGCATAAAAATTGGTCAGGCCGTTTCTCAAAGTGCTCTCTTGTTTGATATTTACCGTATATAGATTCCGCTTACATTACAATTTACTATTTCTAAAAAAATGCCATATTTAATAAATTTTGACTTATTATTTGTAGTTGGTTGATAAATACCTTGTAGAATTTATTTCCTTTGATTCTCTTGATATTTAAAGATGTCTTTTATTTTATATAAACAATTTTGGCGAGGTTGTCTCTTGTTGATTAAATACATCCTTGTCCAGTTGGTTGGCATTTGCGACATGACGTCATTTAGCCATGACTCAATCCGCTTACTAAATAGTTTGCCAGTGTGACCAGGGTTTTGCTATTTCTTGATACCGAATTGTGATGGTAACAGTTAAAACGAATAAGCTGTCCTCTTTCTTCAACAAATTACCACAAATCTGTTTATTATATCCACATACAGTATGTATGTAAATAATCAAATTAAAAAAGTGCTATTTCTATTTAAGTTTTTTAAGCCAATATGCGCTCGTTGCTGCGTCTCCTATAACTTATAGAATAATAAAATAAACTCTGCCAAAGACAATAAAAGTCTATTTAACAGCACTCCTATCAGTGAATCTGTAAATCTATTTTATTTTGACATACAAACTATTTTTTGAAATTGGAATTCCTATTATAGACCAGTGCCGATAATTTTTGAAACCAAAAAAAATTACAGTAGGATGAAACCCATTAGAAAAGCAGGGGAATATGATCAAAATGAAAGGAAAAATAAATTACGGTCGATCTGAGGTCTTGTATAGTTTTAAGGGTAAAAAACGGTTTATCTCGATTTCCGGCAAAACTAAAAGTCCTATCGAAGAAAATTAATTGGCAAAGTTGTAGGTAATAAAAAGATCTAAAACTTTTGTATTCACACATTTTTCACATAACCTCAAAATTTATGTAAAAAATTCAAAAAACCAAGTTTTTGGTTTTTAATTTTTATCTTTTACAAATTTCTTTTTTTTAACGAAATTTGATGAAAACTTACCTTATTATGTCCCAAATATACTGTAATTTATTTGATTAAAAATATTTATTTTTTCACCTTATTTTGAATTAATATCGAAAAAACACCCTAATTTTCAATCGAAAATTCTGACGTCAAAATTTCAGCTTTTTTCAAAAAGCTGGTGTGCTTTCAGTTTGTTGAAATCTCTACTTTCCTATGGTAAAAAAATATATATAAAACCATAGTAAATCTTCTCAGAAAATGCAAAAAATCGTATGCAGTAACGCCCAGACCCGTCATACTCTTCCCTACTTCTCTATGAATCTTCTTTAAATTATAATTAGATGCCTATTTATTACTATTTTAAGATAACTTATATATACCTGAGTGACCTAAAAAAATTTTTTAGCCTTTAGATGGGCTAAAATTTTCGGATTTCATAGAGAAGTAGGGGGGGGGGGGGGGGGGGGGGGGGTCCCCCAAAAGGGTTGCTATCTAAGATATATGTTTTTGCTTTTATATAGATTTATTACAAGGAAAGTAGAGATTTCAACGAACTCCAAAGCACACTCAAGCTTTTTTGAAAAAGCTGAAATTTTGACCTCAGAATTTGTTCGAAAAATTAGGTTTTTTCTATTAATTCAAAATAAGATGAAAAAAAAATATTTTTAATCAAATAAATTACAGTATAATTGGGACATAATAAGGTTTCACCAAAGTTCGTTAAAAAAAAATTGTAAAAGATAAAAATTAAAAACCAAAAACTTGTTTTTGAATTTTTCACATAAATTTTGAGGTATGTGAAAAATGTGTGAATACAAAAGTTTTAGATCTTTTTATTACCTACAACTTTGCCATTTAACTTTCTTCGATAGGACTTTTAGTTTGCCGGAAATCGAGATAAACCGTTTTTTACCCTTAAAACCCCCCCCCCCCTTCCCGACCTCAGATCGACCGTAATTTATTTTTCCTTTCATTTTGATCATATTCCCTGTTTTCTAATGGGTTTCATCCTACTGTAATTTTTTTAATTTTTTATTTATTTTGAAGGCTATCTGCACTGGTCTATTACGCTTACGCTAACATGAAGAGTACGTTTTTAATCATTAACATTTCAAATTCCAGTTGACTTCCGAATTTTGGTAATGACAAATTCAATTAATTTTATGACTTCAAACTTCCTTGCAATTTCCTTTATGTGTTTTACCTCTTACGATCTTATCTGTGCCTGGTACATACACATAAACCAATTTAAAATTAAAGTCACGAATAAAACCAATCACCATCGGAAGCAATTAAATACTCCGGCCGTAATTTCTCGAACAATCAATTCATAATTAGTGGACAACAAAGAATATTATAATAGTCACGGCTCGAGACGCTATCTAAGATATATCTTTTCGTTTTATTATAAGGTTTTATTGTACTTCAGCGTCTCAAATAGTTGTAACAACGAATTTAAAAGAGTTCTAGTTCCAGAACACAATTATTTTATTGAATAGATTACCTAAAATTTGTCAAACATTTATTTTAAAGAATTATCTTTTCTTTTTCGAATTTAAAATAATCTCAAATAATCAAAACCACTACAGTATCGCTTTCTCTATAATTTATGATGGCATAAATTCTTAGGCAAACTGCAAATAAAAGTATCCGATCGCAGCTGCACTTAAGTTTTAAATAATAGCAACATTTAACATTTTATTTATATCCATGTACGACTCAAGATTATTATGATATCATCTCAACCCACAAACAGGCTTAAAGCGAGATCATTTCTTTATTTCTCAGGTTTTTCTGTGACTTTTAATGTTTATGAGTTTAATAATCTTCATGGAACAATTTGAATTGTAGATTAAAATTTTTTCTGAACCAAATGTACGTATATAAAATGTTTCTATTTTCGTAACACTTATGAACGACAAAACTACGTGAACTTGGAAAACTTATTTCAATATTAATTTATAGAAATAATCATATTAATTATACTAAGCCTAATATTTAAAACATAAATGTAACAAATGTATAAAATGTCTGTTAGTTAGAAGATTTTCCCATCTTTAGGAAATTCAAAACGAGCATTGTAGTCGGTGAAAGCTGTATATTATGTAATATCTGTGATGCGATATTAGATGTATGCAAACTTCTTTGTTTCTTACATTAACTAAGTTACATTTGTAACGTTTTTTAGATTAAGAAATTGAAGTTTTTTATGTTACTTGAGAAGTAGATATGAGGTTTTTTTATAAGATAGGGGGGCAAACGAGCTTACGGAATAGCCATAAATTGCGGTCACCGAAGCTCATAATCACCCATTTAAACGCACCCAGACTTGAGAGATACGTTGTTAAATCTCTTTAACAATAAAGATAGGGATACAAATCTCGACCCATAGGACAAGTTCAATGAAGAAATATAACGCATATAGAAGTGAATATATAGATAATATATATAACGAATATCGCATAGTGAGATACGATCGGCAAAAGGTAAAATCGATAATTTTTCATTGGAATGGCGCGCACGCCCCGATATATTTCATACGAACACGAACAATTCAACTTGATGATGGGTTTGTGACTTATCTTGTCACTTTTATTTTTGATAACTATAAACCTTTCATTTATTATTAATTATGTATCATATTAAATCATGTTTTTATGTCCGATAAAAATATTGTATAAATGTAAAGTTTGAGAAAGATGTTGTTTAACATTAATACATATCTAAGTTATATAATAACGTCTAACGGAACGTCGCATCGATCGCATGCCGACGTCTTTCCGACTTCAGCCGGTCATTGACGCGTCAGCTGTCAGTTGTCACTACGTCTGTAATCTGTATAGGCTTACGTCAGTATTTGTTAGCTATTAGCTAGTCGAAATAAAACACGTCAGTTTTACGATCTATTATGAATTAAAATCATATTTAAATAATTATTTAGCACTATTTAAAGCTCAGTATAGCACTATTGCATTTAATTATCACAGATTGTCCATTGTAATCAAGGATACTTAAGGTAATATAGCCATGTAATGTTTCCATGTTGTTGTTGTAATAAAATATTTGTAACTATTTAATGTATTATATATTTAATATTTAATTTTACAGTATAAAATTACAATGAAGAGGATGGTTTTAAGGGTATATATTAGTGTTATATTCTTCACTTCGGTACTTTGTACTGTACAGCCTCCAAACATAAACCCTGGAATATTAAGCCCATCTAAGTCACTCGGCGAGTGTCAATCGTGTAAGTTATTTATAGAATCATTCAAAACGGGATTAGATAGAACAACCCGAGGAAAATACGAAGGAGGAGATGCCGCTTGGGAGGTAGAAAAATTAAAAAAATCATACAAACGGAGTGAGATGCGATTAGTAGATATTCAAGAGGGACTATGTAAAGAGTCAAAACACTCAATTCAATGCCACCATATAGCTGAAAAAGCTGAGGAATTTATTGAAGAGTGGTGGGCACAAGATCCTGATGAATCTGATGATTTATTTAAATATATATGTATAGACAAGTTACAAGTATGCTGCCCCAAACACCATTTTGGAAAAGATTGCACGCCTTGTCCAGGTGACCATGATGATTTATGCAGTGGCAATGGAAAATGTAGGGGTGATGGCACTCGGAAAGGGAATGGAACATGCTTATGTGATCCTGGCTATATGGGAGAGAACTGCAACCAATGTTCTTCAGGTTATTATTTGTCTTACAAGGATAACAACAAAATGTTGTGTTCTGTTTGCCATCGTTCCTGTATGGGTGGATGTCGAGGAGGCACAGCCAAAGACTGTGTTGCTTGTAAATCTGGATATGTTTTTGATTCAGAAAATTCAGTTTGCATTGATATAAACGAGTGTGAAGACTTAAAGAGATGTAATGCAGGCCAATTCTGTGAAAATAGATTAGGCTCCTATGCATGTATAGCCTGTGATAAGTCTTGTAATGGTTGTTATGGAGGTGGGCCAGATTTATGCAGAAAATGTGCAAAAGGATACTCAAAAAAAGGAGAGTTGTGTATTGCTGACAAAGAAGACGAGGATCAGTCAGAGATATTAACTACAACTAGGTAACATCTCTTATGCATTAATTTGATAACAACCACATAAGTTTGATTTTATAAACAACCTTTATAACATGAGAATTTGCCCATTATAATAAAAAAATAAAACAGCTTAACTGCTAGGTTCTAACTAAAGTATCTCTTTATTTTCATCAAAGCGTAAACATAATTACACAGAATAAGACTAAAGAGTACTTATGTTTATATGGTGCAATTTTACCCATTTGATTTTTAATAAACAAGGGTATAATTATTGTATACTTCTCACAATTATTTCTTAATTAGTCAAAAGTGTTCAAGCTAATGTGGTTCTATTAATAAGGTTTATTTTGTTTGCTAATACTTTAATATTTCTTACAGAAAAGAGGAGCTGTAAAACATGTGATATTATATATTTTAGGTAATTTAACTTTAAATTTTGGTGATGGAAATTCATATTTTTCCTCTTAGATTTTCTAACAGCTTTTGGGAACATTGCTTTTTCTATTTACATTTAAATATAGGTTTAATACAAAGTACAAACATCTTTTTGAATTGATTTTACTCTAAATTTTTTGACGGACAAGTACTTAGGTGATCAGCTTTTATCTCTATAATCTATATTAAATTTACGGTGCAAAAACATATACGAAACCCTAATGTTTTGCTATCCCGAGTTTGAGACTAAAATATGGTGATATATGGACAAAAAAAATTGAAGTGGCCATTTTTCATGCCACTTCAGACATTTGAAAAACCAGGTTTACGATCTACGGTTACAAAGTTAAAAACACCTTTTTTTATTTATATTATCTACATTTGAATCATTGGAAAATTTTATTTAATTATAGGTACATCATATACGTAGGATTGTTAATAACAACAGTAATATTACTTACCAAGTCAGCATCACTTGGCGGCATTGTCGGCATCGCGGTAATCTCATATATCGTCGGTGCTGAATACTATTGTATGATTAATGGTCACGCGGGCCTCGTGAATATGAAAGACTTTGATTTGATGCAAGTATTTCGCACTTAGATTTAGTGATTTATGATGCAAACTCATTCACGACTATAGCATAAATTAATGTATTTTGTACCTTCATTCCTTAGTTGGTAACGCATAGCTTGGTTCGATTCTCGGCGAAATAATTATTATTATTTCGCCGAGTTAACTGAATTATCTGTTGTGAGTACAATTTAACACTTAACACTTCTATGTAATATCAAGAGGTGCCAAAAATCGTAAAAAAAAATCACGAATTTTTATTGACCTTATTAAAACATGTTCACTTTTCGTAATGCCAATACTTATACGCACATTTGGTAGATTAAATGTAAACATAATTAAAATGTGAATAAAAGCTTACAGGTATTCCATTAGTAGTAGATACATATGTATGAAATAATTTTTAATACATAAAATAAACTGTTATAAAAAAAATAGTTTTAGTACATTATTTTAATAATAATTGATTGAGTTTAAAGACTATTAAAACTGATTTAGTTGTTTGATAATGGTTGTCTTGTATATGTCGCAGCCAACTAGTATAATTAGCCGTTCAATTAACAGCCTAGCCTTTAGCTAAACGGCGTCGTTTAACTAGCGGCCTGTATAAATATTTTTATGCCATATGTTTAATCTTTTTTATTTCTGCCAAATAATGACTCTATCGTACTAAACATTAGCCAGCCAGTTTATTAAATGTTGTAACAAACGCTATAGCTGAATATCTTTCAGGCCGCTAGTTAAACGGCGCCGTTTAGTTAAAAGGCTAGGCTGCTAATTGAACGTCTTATTAAGCTAGCTGGCTGCGACATATATATAATAGTTCTTATTCTAAACGATGAAGATTGTATTATTTAGTTTATAATAAATTATTTCTATTTCATTAAAAGTTAATCACACAGTTTCAGTTATTAACGAGTAAAATTGTATTCAATATATTTCAATAGTTTAAGTAATGCTTTGTGATATATTTATTTTGTGATCATTAATTTTATGAAGATTTTGTCCCTTTGTAAAAACAATCAATATTTAAGTAATATTGAAAATTTAGATAGTAAGATTTTAATAAAGAGTGGGTGTTTAAATTAATTGTTAGTTTTATTTATTCCTTTAAAAAAATTCATTCCGAATTAGTAGTAGATTTGTATTTCACGTGCTATGGCCTCTATCAAATAGTTTACAATTTTTTTTCCTGGTAACCCCGCCAGTCAGAGGGCATATTTAATATACTGTGGCTTCGTATGTCGCATTAGATACAAAATACTTCAGACTATCCAGAGATAACATTTTTTATATTTCTAGAACAGAAACCTTTTGTGGCAGTCTGTCTCGTTTACTTATTTTCCTATATCCCCAAAGTGGGGCAGAGGGCGTCTACAATGCGCGCTATTATGTTCTTTCTGTCTTGTTGGTTAATCTCTAAAGTGCAAAACTACTTCAATACGTTTTCCTATCGTTAATGATAGAGCTTTGTGTCATTGATATCGGATTATAGAAACGACGATTAAATGATAATAAAGTCGTCAAGATGATAATTTAAGTAGCTTGATAATAGTTTTATTAGAGCGTTCAAGTATTACGTAACGAATTGGGGGGGGATTGAATGAAGCGTTATTGTTAATATTATTTTCGACTTTCCAGTACTTTACACCACATAATGGTAACTTTTAGGTATAAAGAGTCACTAGGTGGTAACGAAACGTTTTACTGTATTTGGGTACAGGAAAGCGTTAAGACGCGTTACATGGGGGGGTCAGTAATCTCCAAAAATTGCGTGACGTATCTTATACTTGCACGCTCCCCGTTTCTGAAATCAGTTATTTTATAATAATTTAAAAAAATTACAGTTTAAAAGTTAACTTCTTTATAATTTAAACCAACCAATCTTATATCGCTATTACAAAAAATTAAAATTTTCGTCTTCGTTAAGAATTAAACGGTTCATAAGCGTTATGTAACAGGAGCTGTCAATCAGTGCAGTGTGACCCTGACACCGATTTACATGTTCATACCGTACTCGCCTGCAGGTACTGTTTTTATAGCTTTAAGTTAGAAGATATTGCGAGTAAATTTAAAAAGTAAGCTTTTTTAATTTTCTTAGTTATTTATACTTCATTGCCATAATACACATAATTATAGATACATATAAAAAAACAAAAAGTAAGTAGGTTACATAAGTTATGAGGCACCGGGCGGCCTTATCGCTAACAAGCGATTTCTTCCAGGCAACCCTTCTTACGTTATTAGGTACGATAAAAATATGTTAATATATCAGTTTCAAATGGTACACATGTTATTGAGTACGTATATTTATGATATAATTGAAATTATGTATTTACTGTTAAATGTAAATCCTTATTTTTCTAGCTTTAAGCAATTGTTAGGTCCATAAATTGATTGACTTTTTAATATTTATGTGCATTAATTCCTCGCAAAGCAATTATCCGTTCAGATTGGCTTCAGTTTCATTCTTTTAAAGGTAATTTATTCATTTTTAATATGAGGTGGACATTTTATATACAGAGTCATAAAATAAATCGACGCTTCATCGACTAATTTATGTCGCCTGCCATTGCCCACGCATTATGTAAGTAGTAACTTTATGCAAATTACTGAATGGCCTCTTCGTGTACTCGTTTTAGACAACATAAAAATATTTGTTTCGACATACATTATTTAAAGTGTCGTATTCTGTCAATTGACATCCAGATCTTGAGAAAAGATCTCTGTACTTTTGGTTGAGAAAGACACACAAGAATGTATGATGACGAAAGACGATGACGCGTTTGACTTGGCTGTAATCAAACGCCAACACGGACATCGACTAGAGAATAGAAGATATTATCTTTGATGACAAACGCAATCAGTGATGTCAACTCCTACAGAATGTTCCCCCTAGAACCTTCAAATACCTCTAATTATGGATTTAGAACCCCTAAAGTTTTTGTTGTACACTCAGTTTTTGTGGTAATTTCAAATATACATTAAAAGTACATTCAAGTAATATAAAATCTCGATCTTGGATCTTTTAATATTTCAGTCATTGCCTCGCTTGGATTTTATATTTGGTTTAGTTTGTTTGTTGGGTTATTTGTGGGCTTAATATAAATTGTATAGAATCGTGCATTTTTTAAGAAATGTTTTTGTGTACCTCCTAGATAAATGTACCTCCTACTTAACCCCTCAAGACATCTTGATTAAACCTAAATTTGGGGGAAAAACCCCCAAGTGGGCAGCACTGAACGAAATGCACCATTTGCGCTTTTGTTTAACCTTCTTAGCCAGTTATCCGGTTCCTATTGGTATAGATAACATATTTTCTTGTCCTCCGAAGTATCTATCGATTCGTAGAAGTCACAGGAACTAATATTGTTATCGATATTCCTTAAACATTTGTTAAACAAGAACTAACAAGGTCATTTCTTAAACATATTTTGTGTAAGACTGCAAAACCAAAACCAGCTTTTAAAAAAGCAAAAACGTTATAAAACTCAATGTAATATATTCAGAATTCAGATAATGTTGAAAACAAGTTTTTGTTATAGTTGAACCGAAAATGGAAGGTTGATTTGCGACTTTGCCGGATTCGAGACAATGTAGCGAGTTTTGTTTTTATGGAGTTGCCATTTCACAATTAATATCTGAGGTCACTCGTGATTGATATAAAGGAATGCCTGATCTTTTATAAAAACATCGTAAGGAAATCCTTTAGTAATATGATTTGACTTTCCTAAATGCTTTGGATGATATTAACATAGTGTTCACAGAGTAAGCGTGGAGTTTTCTATCTATGGCGGAGAAAAACCTTCTTGATATATTTTACACTTGATTATATATCACAGGCCTACAAAAAAAAAAATTTTTTTTTTGGTGTACATATTGTCGATAAAATAGGTTATGTACAATAAATTGACATATGTAATTTTAACTCATCAGCTCTAGTTTACCCACTACCCTTATTTTATTTTTTTTCCCGCCTTGGTCGTAAATAGTGATTATTACATTCATATCGATAAAGTTTCTGTTACTAATTCAATATGACTAGTACGTCCAGGGGCCTTAGTCAAGATGCCTTAACAGTAGTGTATGTAGAACGTCAAAAACTAAATTTGTATGAAAACTTTTCGACACGAACTGTCATTTCCATACAAATTTAGTTTTCGACTTTCTACATACACTACTGTTAAGCCATCTTGGCTAGACCCCCAGATGTTGTGTTAACGATTCTGATACTTTTTGCTATGTTTGTGGTCAATACATACTGAAAGATCAGCGTATAACGATGACAAACACTGTGAATCGTTTGTATTTTGCTTATTTCGGTATTGAAATTCAACACCAAGATAAAGTGTTGGTGCCACATGATGTGTGCACAATATGCGTTGAACGTCTACGACAGTGGGAGAAAGGCACGCGTAAGTCTTTAAAGTTTGGAATGCCTATGACATGGCGAGAACAAAAAAAAACATTATTCCGACTGTTACTTTTGTATGAAAAATATAGTGGACAACAACAAAAAAAATCTATATCTATATAAAGAAATGGAAATACCCTAAATTTCCCTCAGCACAAAGACCTATTCTTCATCCAGAAAATGTTCCAGTACCAGCTTTTCACCAGGTAGTGCAGCAATCTCGGGAGGATCAATCTGGAATACCTTATTCTTCCCAAATAGATGACGAATTTGAATACTGCGGGAAATCATCAAATCCTAACCCATTTTAACAGAATGAGATGAATGACCTCATCAAAGACTTAGGGCTTTCGATGGAACATGCTGAGTTACTAGCTTCAAGATTAAAATAAAAAAAAATGCCTTTCTTCAGACGTTCGAGTGTGTACATATCGTACGAGAGAACAAAACTTATTGCAGTTCTTTTCATCTGAAGAAATAGTTGTATGACTGTGACAACTATGTAAAATTAGTAGAAGATGGTTCGATTCAACGATTTAGGCTGTAATATGAGTATGAAATTTCACTATCTCAAAAGTAATCTAGATCAATTCCAACACAATTTAGGAGACCTAAG